GTGTAAAAGGCTATCGTGATGTTTATTGATAGACTGGAATGTGCTTTATTCTCAGTTGGGTCAGTTGTTCGGTTCAATTTATCAAATTCTAATTAGTTGTGTTTCAAATGTGTGGGGAAGTGACTCTTTTGGCCCTCCCCCTCCTCCTGTAACGCAAGGACAGTGACGGGTATGTATTCCACGAACTCAGCACTTTTATCTTATCTCTCTGCGCTTCACCTAAAATTACATAAAGAAGGGTAACTATCTATTTATTTGGTGTAAGGCGCTCCTTGACAATGTGAGTAGTAAAAGGGAACTGCGGGCAACGCAAAACTAACATACAGATGTTCAAAATGTGTAAAAGAAATGGATATTCTAACAGGGTTCGATTTTTTCTCTTTGAGCTTTTATTGAGTGTTCGCTGTCAAGGTTTTGAAGTATCTATTCTTTGAATGTCGCTAAGCTGAGCTTAATTATGTCTCTTGAGTCACCGGCACGTTTTTTTGCTCTCTCTAAAGGGCCCGCATTTCAATTCTTAGAGGTACCCTATCACAATTCCATCTAAAAGACGCGTGAAAGCTATCGAACCGGAGCTTTGCTGTCGTTAAGCATTTTTCAATTTTCTTGTTTTTTTTCTTCAGTTCTATTTCTGATCGCACTGTGCATGGCCGTGAAATTGACTGTGAAATGAAATGGTAATGTACTGATTGAAATGAACTCCAATCGAGATGTACATTACAATTAAAGTGCCGCAAAACATCAAGAATTAGAATCATATTGATGTTCGTGTAGTTGGTGACATAGTGAATTTTCTGCTCACTGAAGTTAAAACGACTGCATAATGGAGATATATGTTGAATGTTTCAAATCCAGCTTTCGTCTCTACAAACAAAATCAATGTAGAGTTAGTGAATGCCACACGACTTGTTTTGACTACAGCAACGAAATTGCAGACATAGCTCCGCCCTACGACATTGCGTGCAATCTAGCTCTTAAAAATACAAATATTTTGAGGTTGGTTTGCAATAAGAGCGCTCGCAACGAACAACAATATAGTCTAGGAGCATGAATATGGTGTCAGGGTCCTATAGATGGCTGTCTTCTTTCTTGGTTTCTGGGAGAAGTCATGAATTCTGAAGCCGAAGGCAAAGTGTTTATTAAAGGCATGCTCGAGGATCAAATTGATATGGTTCTTGCACACGAATGCGGATTTATTGGTGCGAAGTTGGGACCGGAAGGAGAGAAGGAGGAATCCTAGTCCAAGAGACGCTTAGGTTAAAGAACGCATTAGATAAGAATGTTCCGGCAATTGGAGTGGATAAACCCTGCACCATACGGAGCAATTAAGTTCGGCTTGCCCTCAAGCAGCGTGGGCAGGGTGAAAATCGTGTCGAGTACGTGGTCGCAGAGGTACGACCCCCCCCCCCCCCGAAATCGAGATCCTGGCACGACCCCCTCTAACAGAGCAAATTAATTCAATTAAAATAAATCCTGCAAAACAAAAATCAAAAATCAAAAAATTCAAAAAAATTCTGCAATAATGCTACAGGTACACGAAATCGAGACGCTTCATCTTGTCATCTATGCACGTCTTCCATCGCTGCATACTTTTGTGTACATACTGAAATATCGACTCGAGGAAAGAGGCATTAACTTTGTGTGACCTCAAGGCGAGGTTCGTTCAGAAACGCACAGAAATCCTGAAGACACGGGGTTGCGATTCAATCTTGATTCTTGCTTGAGTATATCAAAACAGCCGAGTGTATCAAAGGCCGATTCAACGGCAGCTGCGGCGCGATTGTCACTGGGTCAGATTTGCCGAAATTTCAAAAAAAAACGTCCGAATCTACACCCTCGATGAAAAGGTTGCATTCCCTCCATTTCACAACCTTTGAAGCAGCTTGAGGTAGAGTTAGATAGAGCTGGATTTCGCGTTTCCAACAAGCATCGAAATTGCTCTGGAAGCCTTCCTTGCAGAAAGATAGGGTCTGTCAAATTTCGTCGAGTAAATGTCGAGGAGGCCGAATTTTCACGCGAGTTTTTGCCACTTCAAGAGCAATATATCTCTTATATTGTAAGATCCTGAAAAAGGGAAGATAGTTTTGGAAAGCGGAAGGTTTGCGCTTCCTGATGGTCTGTTTAGTTTTCTTCTACAGCTTTTTGGTTGAAGAGATAATTGCGTCGAGGATCTATCGAGGTCGGATCCGGCCACCTGGAAATCCGCTCCCTCATTCACCATTGCAAGTGTGACTCGTTGGCAACACTCGGAATGTGTCTAGAACAATATCTTTGAACGCAAACAATAAGAATAGGAGCAATCGTCATCATCCGATTTGGTATTGGTATAAGCCATGCATCCCTCCTCCACTCACAGTTGCAGAATCGATTGAAAGGTGTTATATGATGGGGACCTTCGAACGAAACTGTATTGTAGTAGACATAGTGTGTTGTGCTATCGTAAGATAAACGCATAAAAGAGCACCTTCCATTTGCCAGTCTTGTTGTTTTTTGTCCCTTATTCCTTACACGTTGTCGCACTTTATCCTGTAAGCCGCCGTCCCTAAACAACCAAGCGTCAATTCTCAGCGAGTATTTGAAGGGAGAAGAAGGCCGGAGTGATAGGCAGAGGACAAGCCATGCCTTTTTTGTTTTATTTTTGCAGCGCGTGCGCACATGTGGCAGTCTTCTTTGCGGGGATGCACTTTCATTCTTTGTACTGCCTTCAAATACGCCCTTCTCATGAAGGTGGAGGAATGGAGCGACTGAACCTGCAAAGAAAATTTAATATCATGTTTTTTTCGGATGTTTTCATTTTCTGCTGCGCTATACCCTATTACCTATCTGCACCATGATACCACTTCTGTTACTGACCCCCAAGAGTACGACCCCCCATGGACCAGCCCCACAGGTACGACCCCCCTGTCGAGGATTTCCTCGACCGATATTCACCCTGGTTTGGTCCTGTGCCACTCGGAAGGTGCTTGCG